ATCATGCTGTATCGGTAAACCACATGGCTGGGAACATCCAGTCCTCCAAATCCATGTCGTAGTGCAAGAAAGTGTGAAAAACTAGGAACGCTCTCGGCCGAACTGACATCGGGATTGTACACTTCCTCTTTTATGACAGCGAGCTAGGTGATTCATGTCATTTACCAGGCGCGGTCAACTTACCAGACTACCAAATAAGTTACCGAAGCATGGGGCATCAATCCCGACGAAGGAGCAACCCCCTTTCAGGGTCACATCCTCAAGAATCACATGTGCTACCGTGTGGACAAGGGTGCATGGACATTACCAACCAGGCCTGCGTAAAACTGCCTTCAGGCCAAGTCCTACGACGAAGTTGCACAGTGATATCAGCACTGTGCAGAATGCAAACCCCACCGCTCGAAGCATGACATTCTCAGTGTCGAAAACAGCCCGATCTGCAAATCGAGTGAGACCATAAGCTACCACCAATACAAGGACAGGGACAGCTGCTGCTGCCAACACCGATAGGTTCTTCAGGAGCTCGAGACAAGTTCCCCTTGGTCTCCGCCGACCAAGCCTTAGCAAAAGTATCAAGAGATCCTTGTTGGCTGGGACGAATAGGAACCAAATCATCAACCCTTCGAGTAGAAGGGCAACAGCCGGATGCTCCCACAGCTCCCAAGGATGGTCGGCTTGAGTCCAGCTTGCAGAGACGTCCATGAAAGCCAGAATGATTGGGGAAGTCACTCCCAAAGCCCATGGAGTACTGAATACCTTCTGGGTAAGATCACGGTTCAAAATGTCTAAAACCTCGGTGCGCACAGTGTCCTCGAAAGTTAGCACGCTGCCAAACCAAATCTTCACGCACTCTTTCACGATCTTACGGTCGCACAGCATACGTTCACCCGAAGGGCTCACATGATGTAGATCACAGCATGAACTCCTTGTAGAATCAAGGGAGATCGACAACAGCTGCAGCTTCATTGTGTCCAAGTCGCGAAAGTAGCTTCGGACGGTGCTGGCAACCGCGATTGCAACCACAAGCGCGCAGAAGACAATGGCCGACAGCAGCTGCACGATGGTTCTTTCGTCGTTGACAGGTACTGTCGCGATTGGCATTGCAACAGCAGCAAAAGTAAGAAAGGCTGCGACGGAAAGAGGTCCCATGAAAATGGGCCTGACGATGAGGTGCTGCTGTTGTGACTTCTTACTTTTCAGGAACGCGGCAAGCTCA